TGTGGTAGCTCAGAGCAGAACAGGAATTCATCTGCTCCTGGTGACTCATCCCAAAAGGACTCAGCAGCCACGTGGGGACATCCCAAAGCTCTTGGAAAAAACCAATTAGCAGCATTCCCAAAATAACCCAGAGGAGCCTGGAGGCTTTGGAAGGGACACCGAGCAGGATTGGGGTGGGAAGGGGAAGGTGAGACCTTCACCACACCCCCAGGATATGTTGGAGTCTGGGACTCAGAACGTGTGCCCTTGTTTCTGGTAAAGACCCAGAAAAACACTGAATTTCATATAACATGAAATTCATGAGCGTGTTTTCGTGGTGATACATGGGAACAACTGTTAAAGTTAGATAGAAAAAGCTAAAAGTGTGTGTGGATTAAAGAGTTTTGTTAAATCACTGGGTGAAAAAGTTAGAGAACAGGACATGAGATGGAGGATTTAGGGTGTTGTCTCTTGTCCCTGCTTTCTTCTTCATGTTCTTCTCCTGGAGGTTTTTGGGTGATTGTGAGTGATGGGACAGAAAATGCTGCAGTGCAGGACAGAGGTGAAGGGTCATTAAGTCATTAAGAAAAATAATACATGTGTATTGTTAATTGGGTAAAAATAAGAATAAAGATAAAAGAACTGCGTATTTCAGGGCCATTCTGTGCATCAGACACAGGGTGAGCCACAAGGCCTTGTTTGTACCATCAGAAGAAAGAAATGTACCAAATTATAAAGATTAACCTTGTGTAGCCAGCCTGGAGAGACCTGTAAAGGTTTGTGATGACCTTTTAATAAATAAACATGAGAAACAAGATTTTAACGAGCTCGGGAGTTTTCTTCAAATCACAAGAACTGAGATAAGCAGAGCTCCCCACCAGGGAGGAGCCCAAAAGAATTCAGTCCAAAGGAGGCTGAGAAATCCAAGAAGAGACAGAAAAATACAGAAGAGATGCAGCAGGAACAGAGAAAAAGAGTTTTTAAAGAGTTACAGGACACACTGATTTCAGTGGGACCCACCTGAGCCCTGAAAAGAATAAAAACCCATTTTATGTAACCTTGATTTTTATAAAAATTCAGGAATTCAGCTTTTCATGGGCAGCTCCTCAGCTTGGTGTTTGTGCCTGAGAGAATGTTTAATACAGAGACACCAAAATCCCAGAGTTCAGACCTGTCCTTCCTGGAAATGAGGGGAACAAACAGCATCTCAAAAATGCAAAATGCACCAAGTGTGTCCCAGCACGATGCTGCTCCAAGGAGGAATTAAAGAGATGAGATCCAGGCATTAAAATCTCCTCAAAATGTCCCAAGGAGGAATTAAAGAGATGAGATCCAGGCATTAAAATCTCCTCAGGATGCCCAGGGATGTGTCAGTCCCACCTGGGTTGGGAATTCAGAACTCTGCAAGGAAGCAGGGAAATGAAAATGAAAATAATGAAAATGAAAATGAAATAATGAAAATGAAAATGGAAATGAAAATGAAAGTGGAAATGAAAATGAAAATGAAAATGAAAATGAAAATGAAAATGAAAATGAAAATGAAAATGAAAATGAAAATGAAAATGAAAGGTGTTGCCTCATGTCACAGGACAAAACCTGAGCTGAAACTTTCAAATTTCAATTTTTTTTTCTTAGGTATTTTTTTTTCTTATATAACAGCAGAATATCAGAGCTGATGGGGGAAAAAATTTGGGAATAGTGGGGGGAAAGAGCCTTTACACAAAAAAGGCAAATTTTTGGGGGGAAAATTCCAGCATTCGACCCCACTGATTGCTCCAGGCACAATCAGTGTCCTGGCCACAAACAATCCACAGGTTTTTTGGGTTTTTTAAAATAATTTCTGATATTTTTTGCAGAGAATATCTGTATTTCTAAATAACTCAAATATTGAGCCCACATGAGGACTGTAGAGGAGAATTATTTCACTTTTCCTGATGTTCTCTGCACTTGAATAGCTGGAATACAGGAGAGGAAAAAAAAGAAAGACAACCCACTCCAAAACCTTATGGCAAAGAGGATAAAAAGATGAAAATCATCTTTGAGATGTCCTGGCAATATTGGCTTTCCTGATTCATGAATATCCTGTTTATGTTTATAAATTTATTTAAATTTCTAAAAAGGAAAGTTTATAAATTGATTGATAATTTATGAAATTTATAAATTAAATTTATAAAAAGGAAATTCTTTCCTTTTTAATCCCTTCTCAGTCATCCCAAGGTGATATTTTCCCCATGCTGAGCTTTGGCAATGCTTCAGAGGAGTTGTATTTCTATATTTCTAGAATATTTCATATATTTCTAGGGTATTTCTGTATTTCTAGAGTATTTTCTTTATTTCTAGGGTATTTTCTATATTTCTAGAATATTTTCTATATTTCCAGGGTATTTTTTATATTTCTAGGGTATTGCTTTATTTCTAGAATATTTTCTATATTTCTAGAATATTTTCTATATTTCTAGAATATTTTCTATATTTCTAGGATATTTCTTTATTTCTAGAGTATTTTCTTTATTTCTAGAATATTTTCTACATTTCTAGTGTATTTTCTATATTTCTAGTGTATTTTCTATATTTCTAGAATATTTTCTATATTTCTAGGATATTTCTTTATTTCTATTTTCTTTATTTCTAGAATATTTTCTGTATTTCTAGTGTATTTTCTGTATTTCTAGAGTATTTTCTATATTTCTACAATATTTTCTACATTTCTAGTGTATTTTCTATATTTCTAGAATATTTTCTATATTTTTAAAGTATTTTCTATATTAATATTTTCTACATTTCTAGTGTATTTTCTATATTTCTAGAATATTTTCTATATTTTTAAAGTATTTTCTATATTTCTAGGGTATTTCTTTATTTCTAGAATATTTTCTATATTCTAGTGTATTTTCTATATTTCTAGGGTATTTCTATATTTCTAGAGTATTTCTTTATTTCTAGAATATTTTCTATATTTCTAGGGTATTTTCTATATTTCTAGAGTACTCTCTATATTTCTAGGGTATTTCTATATTTCTAGAGTATTTTCTGTATTTCTAGAGTATTTTATATATTTCTAGAGTATTTTTTTCTATATTTCCAGGGTATTTTCTATATTTCCAGGGTATTTTCTATATTTCTAGGGTTTGTTCTATAGAATCATAAGAGGCTGGAACCACGCAGAGAAAAACAACACAGCTGGAAAATGTTCATATTTCAACAATTTAGCACCAGACTCACAGAATTTTTAGGTTTTGCACCACTTAAATGCCACGAACCAACTCTTTTTTCCCACACAAAGGAAACATATCCCAAATTTACAAGCACACCATGAACTTCCCTCCTTCAGCACTCCCAGGCTGAACAACCCCACCACAGATTGACACCTCCAATGCAAAGGTTTGTATTAAAAATTATATATATTGTGTCAAATAAAACAAACGTTCTGTGTACAAATTTATACGTGACAAAAAATAAAACTCTTTGAATAACACTGTGTAAAAAAGAAAAAAAAAACAAACAAAAAGTGCTGGCTGCTGTTCTGCTCTACGAGTTCTAGAAGCAACAGGCTCACCAAAGGCATTAGTAAACACCTAAACTGCACTGCAGGACTCAGGTAAGGCACAGAATTCAGTTTTTTAGGGGTGGAAATATTCCTGTGCAGCGTTCAGCACCTCTGCCAGGCTCCTTTAGCTGAGAGCTGAGGGAGATTTTAAGGAAAAACACTGGAAAATGCATCATCACCGTCAGGCCCTGGCTCTGAAACACCTGAGCAGCCCCAAAAATGCTTTGGAGCCACTTTTTATCTCTTTCCTCCTCCTCTTCCTCGGTCTTTGGCCAGGTGGAGATTTTATCTGAGGTTTAGACAGCTTTTAATCCAACAATGAGAAATCAGTGAAGGGACACACGTGGCTGCTCACACAGGAACGTGGAAGAGTCTGAAATTCTCAACAATCTCAATTCTCAGCCTTTTCCAAGCCCATTTTGGGATTCTGTGATTGCTGCCAGAGCAGAGTAGCACTGGGAGGAGATGAGAAATGGAAACCAGCTTAAATGTTCAGCTCATCACAAAGCAAATGTAAAATGCAGCTTCTCATTTGTTTAAATTTTCCACAAGGAAAATATTCTTCAAAGCAACAGGCACAGGATTTCCAGTTCTATCTTAGGTAATAAGGAGGTTTTCTTACATATATATATATATATATTTTATCCTCAGTTCCTTAACCAATCTTTTTACACCTGGGTTTTCAGCGTCCTGTGCAGCACAGACTGACAGGAAGATCACTGAAGTCTCATCAGCTCTTTCACACTGAAGGGTTCCAGGCACTTGGTTCAGAGAAACTGCTTTTAACCATGTCTGAGTCACCCAGCTGTGATTTGTCCTGTTGTTAAACAGCAAAATCCAGAGGAGCACCAGGCACCTGGTCCCAAAACTGCTGTAAAATCGATCAGCTGGAGGGCAAGGAGTCCATCCATGTGTGGAGGATCGGCCTCACAAGTGTATTGTTCTTTATGAGCATCAGGAAGTGCCCCAGCCCTGCCTGGATCACCTGCACAGGTGAGGTCAGCGAGGGGAGGAGCTGCTGGGCCTGGGTTTCCCTGCTCTGCTCCAGGGAGAGCCTCAGCAGGGTCAGGGAACGCCAGCTCTGGGCACAGAACCTCAGGATCAGCCGTTTTCTCTGCAAAACAACTCCCACAGAACAGCTGGCAATGACTGCCAGAGACTCACACTGCCCAAAGTCACTGCTGCCCTTAGGATGACACAAACCTGCCTGAACAAGCCAGTGCTCCATTCCCCAGGGTTTGCAACAAGCCAGGGAGCTCCAAGCTGTGATTTCCCAGCACATCACGCTCCATGTGCACCTTCAGTGCTGTCTGCAGCAGGAAAATCCCACAGGTTCCTGCACTGCTGCCAAGTCACAGCTGCCACAGCAACCTTTATGACAAAGGGGGATGGAATTTGGAAGGGGCTGCTCAGGAGGTGGTGGAGTCACTGTCCCTGGAGGCGTTTAAAGGACTGGACGTGGCACTGAGTGCTCTGCTCTGGGTGGTGCTGGGTCACAGGTTGGACTCAATGATCCCAGACGTGATCTGGGAATGATTTCTGTGATTCTGCCTCGTTTACATCCCACCTACAGCACTGCTGGTGAACTGATCACTTGGGATGAACTTGCACACAAGCATTCCATGGCGATTTTCCTGGAAAGAAATCTGTTCCACGAGGGCACAAGTCCAGCCCAGCTCTGCTCAGTGACCTCCAAGGCCAGGACACTTTGTGAACTCCTGTCCAACCCCTCGCACTGTGGGTTGTTGTTATGGAGAGCAGCAAAATCCTCCTGTGCAAACAACATGGATTCAGAGAGGTCCAACTCCAGCTTTGCACAGTTCCAGGGCGCTGTGACCAAGGACAAACACTCCAAAGTGCAGGGCCACGAACCCATCGGCCTTGGTGGCCAACAAGTGCTGGGTCCAGTAAAAAAATGACAACAAACAAAGTACAACTGTCACTGGGTGTGAAGTTCAACACCCAGAATCAAGGCAACACATCTCTAAACAAAAACAACTGGCAGAGCTACGCATTCCCTCGCAAAGTCCCTCGGGTGTCACACATCCTGTCAGCCTTGTCACCGAGCTGCTTTGGTTACAAAAGGTCACAGCTTTTGTCCTGTTTTGCAGAAAAATTTTCTGTTCAAGTGACAGAATCCTTCTTCCTCCTAAAGGGGGATTTGAGTCTTTTCCAGACGCTGCTTTTGGGCTTGGATTTCTTCTCCATGGCCATGACAGCCTCCTTCTCCTTCCTGCGGATCTCGCGCACCAGCGCGTGGAACACATCATCAATGTAGTAGCGGAAGGCGGCCGACGTCTCAAAGAAGGGGCAGTTGAACTCCCGAGCCAAGGCAGAGCCCTCCTCTTTGGACACCTGGAAAATGAGTGCACACCCTGGTCAGGGAGGCCAAACCCCAGGAGTTCATTCCTTTGTCTGGCCCTGCTTTGCTCACTTGGACACCCCAAGCCCCAGGACAGGTCATTTCCACCCAGCTCCAAAGGTTTCTCTGCAAATCTGCTTTCACTCATCACTTCTCTGCCAATGCAAGAGACTCTCTGGACATTTACAAAAAATAAACTTCAAAGAATATTCCTTTTTTTGACCTAAGCCTACAAGCTGACACGAGCTGTCCTCAGCCCTGGTAGTTTGGTGAGTTAAGGAAGTTTCCTTCTCCTTGTCAAAAGCTGCTGTGTTTGTCAAATTACTTTCCAGACCCAGAAAAAAACCTTTCTAAAGCTTTCTTGCTCCAAGCCCTATCCAACCTGGCCTTGAACACTCCAGGGATGGGGCAGACACAAATTCTCTGGGCATCCTGTGCCAGGGCCTCCCCACCCTCACAGGGAGGAATTTCTTCCAAATATCTCATCTAAACATCCTCCTGTCAGTGTGAAGCCATTCTCCCTCATCATGTCACTCCATCCCTTGGGAATTGTCTCTCCCCGTGTTCCTTGTAGCTCCTTCAGGTCCTGGAAGGACACCCCAAAACCTTCTCTTCTCCAGGCTCAACATTTTGAGCTCCTTCAGCCTTTCCTCCCAGCAGAGCTGCTCCATCCCTCTGATGCCTCCTCTGGACTCTCTCCAGCAGCTCCAGGTCCTTCCCGTGCTGGGCCCAGGGCTGGGGCAGCTCTGCAGGTGGGGTCTCACCTGAGTGGGGCAGAGGGGCAGAATCCCCCTGTTCCTGCTGCCCCAGGGCATGGTGTGCTCTGTGTGCCAGCACATGGCCAAGGCATGTCCAGGCTCACATCTACCAGCAAATCAGGAATTACAAACAAATCAAAGCCCAGCTGAACTTGAAGACTTCATTTCTGTGACGGCTACAGGCAGCTGCTTTTCACCACATCCCGTGAGAAACCCGCTCTCATCATGGAGACAAAACACGAAGAAAGGGACAAACCCCTCTGCTTTCACTGCATTTTCCAGCAGGAACAGCTCCCAACAGAGGGCTCCCCATGGCCTTTACCTGGCGCAGCTGGGTGAGGTCGGACTTGTTGCCCACCAGCACCACGGGGGTGTCGTCGGTGCGGCGCACGCGGTAAATGAGCTGCTTGAACTCGCGCACCTCGTGGAAGCTGCGCCGGTCGGTGATGGAGTAGCAGATGATGAAACCCTCGCCAGCCCTCATGTACTGGTCCCTCATGGCTGTGAACTCGGCCTGCAAACAGACCGTGGCATTTTAGCTCCACAAATGTAACAACATCCTGCTTTTCTCGCCACCTGAAACCCAGACCTGGCTGTGCAAACAACAGCAGCCCCAGCCCACAAGCCAGGAGCTGTTTGGGATGTCCCTCGAGACAGAAACCCCACTGAGATGTGATTTACCAGCCCACAGGTGCTGCTGGTTCACTGGGGGGGAAGCAGTGCCACAGCTCCAGTCAGGCACATGAAGCTCCTGAGGAGTGACACAGCTCAGACCCCTCGGTTTGGAAGAAGAGAGCGATTCTTTACGCAGGATTTCTGTCCCCCACACCTGATCATTACAGGATGCCTCACGTGCTCTCCATTCAGCTGGGATTACTCACATACCTGTCCTGCTGTGTCCAAAATATCCAGGTTGGCAGGTTCATCATCGATGCGTATCCGGATTTTATAGGCATCCTCTGCGGATTCCCAGGACATCAGAAAGATTGGGATACAAGCAAAACACTCATCAGCCATCTGCTCACAAACAGAATGCTACACCTCAACCGCCCACCCTGGCTGGAGCACTGGACTACCTCAGTCTGAGCTTTGTTTCACTTAAACTACGTTAAATTTCTAATTGTTCTAGTGTGATTTAACATTTCATGTGCAAAAATCATGTGCTGTTCCTGAGCCCACAGCCCAGAAATTCATTTTGGTCACCTTGGTGGGAAACACAGAGGAATAATGTTTTGTTTTTCTCAAAGCCAGAAAAGATCTGTGATCTTTTTTTGAACTGGTCACCAACAACTGCTGATTTCTTAGAAGACATAATAATACATACCAATAAAATATGGAAAACATTATATATGTAAGTGCTATCTATTATATATGTAAATGTAATTATACATGTAAATATTACTTATTCTAAACACCATAGGAAAACAATCTGTACAAGTATGTAAGTACACAAATATCCTGTCCCTCTCAGTCAGTACTCCCACACTTCAAGAACCCATTCTCATCAAGAATTTGGCTTTTTTCCCCCCCACTTTTCCTTCCACTGGGTAACTGCTGGTTCAGGTTTCTCCTGGAGATACTGCCAAAGTTCTACAGCACCAGAGTGAGCTGTTGAGCATTTTCATCCCTCTCCATTTCTCAAACACTGAGAACAATTTGGCCTGACAAGTGAACAGCAAAGAGCTGATCACAGCAGAGAGTCTGGATTTTGTGAACAGACAACTAAAAATGGCTTAGCAGCAGTTTCAATCCCTGTCTGCCAACACACAGACAGAGACAGGGCATGCCCTGAACGGATGGATGGAAAACGATCAAAGAGCTGAAACTCAGGATTCACATCCCACTCTCAGAACTCCCAAATCACAGAAACACAGAGAGGCTCAGGTTGGAAGGGACCACAGCAGATCACCTGCAGGGCCATCCCAGAGCACAGGGCACGGGATTGAGGCCAGGTGGGTCTGGGATATCCCCAGCGAGGAGGATCCACAGCCTCTCTGGGCTCTGCTCAGGGCTGGGCACTGCCCAGGGCACAAGTTCTGCCTCCTGTGCAGGGCAGATCCTGGGCTCAGCCCCTGCCCGTGGCTCTGGTGCCACTGCTGGGCCTGGAGCAGAGCCTGGGCCTGCTCTGCCCCTCCTGCACCCAGGGACACACAGGGACACCCAGGGACGCCCAGGGACATCCAGGGACAGCCAGAACTGAGGCCCCTCTCAGCTGGGACTCCTCTCCAGGCTGAGCAGCCCCAGCTCCCTCAGCCTTTCCTGGGCAGGGACCCTCCGGGAGCTCCTGTCCCTGCTGTGCTGAGGATCCAGAGCTGGACACAGCACTCCAGAGGTGCCTCCAGGGCTGAGCAGAGGGGCAGCATCACTCCCTGACCTGCTGGGAATGCTCATCTTGATGAGTGATCAAAGATCAATCTACAGCCAGATTTAGAGATATCTTTGAATTGAACACTTTACAGCAATGGGCTGTAACAGCTTGAGCTGCGAAGGGAATGAACAAAGAGAAAAGAGATTTTCCTCACCAATGGTGGGATCGTGGTCCTCTGGGAACCGGTGACTGATGAATTGCATGGTCATGGCTGCAAGCAGAAATCAGGCAACAAATGAGCAGCTCTGCTCCCAACTCCCCATGTCACACTGCCACCCCTCAGCCGCGGCACAAACCCAAAGCCGGGCACGGGGGCTGCCATCGGCCCAGGGATGCTCCGCCCGTGCCCTCAGGCGGGACGAGCTCCAGGGACGCGGCCGGAGGCGGAAGGCGATGACCGGGACATCCCGGGAGGGGTCGAGACAGCCCTGCGGGGACACCCCGGGATGCGCCGGGACACCTC